TCCTGGGAGTATACCTGTGTCAGCCCCTTTCATCCCAAGGTAGCCCCCAGCACATCCATTCTGGGAGGCCAGCAGCCAACAGCCTCTTCCAAAGTAATCAACACATTGCAACAGGAGGCATAGCTTTGTTATATAAACTATACTATCACTTTGGGAAGGCTAGCTTCTGGAGCTAGTGCTGTAGAGTGGTGAGTAAAGCTTCTACCAGCCGTGCTAACTTCCCATTTGAGCACTGGTTCAACTCCTGGCTGCTCCACTTTTAATCCAATGTTCTTTGATGATTACGTAGGAAAGCAGAAGAACAGGACCTAGGGGCTAAGGCCCCTGCACCCACCTGGGAGACCTGATAGAAGCTCTGGGCTCCTGGGCTTCAGCTGGACACAGCTGCGGCCCTTGTGTCCACTTGGGGAATGGGCCACCACATGGAAGACCTCTCTGTTATGCAACTCTGCTTCTCAAATCTTTAAAAAGAGGAAAAACTACCTTCTTTACCAGATGATGAATGAGGAAGCATAGTGTTGGTTCCATGCTCTGGCCTCGGTCTCTGCTGTTATCACCTCCACCACAGGTTTGGCCATCTGCCTTATCACGTTCTTCCCAAAGGAGGCTGACAGATGGCAGAGCAATGAATGGAACAAAAGGCCCTACTGGGGTTCCTTGCTTCTTATAAGGCAGAATTTGGTAGAGAGGAAAAAAAAAAAACTTTGCACAAAAACAAGAATAGCCACCTCATTTAGTTCCGCAGAAATCATTTCTTTCTGAGAGTGCCTTTCATTCAGAATTGCAAATGGTTCCTTAAGACCAACAGCATTCTGGAGATCTGAGTGTGCCGGAACAGTCCATGTTTGTTTTAGGACTTTGAGTAAGTGACTGTTTTCCTGAGAACAAAGAGGAACAAACACTGGTAGCTAGGAGTGCACAGAGATGCTCTATGATTCTTTGCCTTGCTTTACTACTCACTTCCTGCCCCATTACCATTTTCCAACAACAAGTTGTGCAGGGTGGAGGAGAGTTGTCATGGCATGACAGCTTCCTGCTGTCACACAAAGCCATACAGCTGCCCCTACCACCACATGCATAGGGCCACCCAGAAGTAGCAGAGGTAAAGGATACAAACGTGGATTCCACCAAGTCTGCAGGATCATGTTCTCATGCTGCTAAGCTTTCAACAAGCAGCTACAGGAAATTTGCACATGACAGAGAATCAGAGCTTGGAGATTCTGGAAACCAGATCCACCCTTATGTGGTTCAGAGCTTCTGAGGCAAGCTTCATGTAGGTTCCCACGGAGGTCCCCATGCTTAGAAATAACTGAATTATCCTTTTAGCATGGGACTTAGGAAAAAAAAGAAGAAGAAGAAATGGCATAAGTAACTTAAGTAGAATGGGAACTAGACAACTGAATGAACTTTCTTTTTAAAGATGTATTTTACTTTTATCGGAAAGTCAGATGTACAGAGAGGAGAGAGACAGAGAGGAAGTTCTTCTGTCCATTGGTTCATTCCCCAAGCAGCCGCAAGGGCCAGAGCTATGCTGATCTGAAGTCAGGATGCAGGAGTACCTCTGAGTCTCCCACATGGGTGCAGGGTCCCAAGGCTTTGAGCTGTCCTCAATTGCTTTCCCAGGCCACAAGTAGGGAGCTGGATGGGAAGCTGGGCTGCTAGCAATAGAACCTGCACCCATATAGGATCCCGATGCATGCAAGGTGAAGACTTTAGTTACTAGCCTACCATGCCGGGCCTAGTTAAATCAACTTTTTAATGAACACCATTCACTACCTGTCTGGGTGTGTACATCTGCTCCTTGATTTGCTATGGCACTACCTACAATAAATTCATTGTAAGCTTAAAACACCTTTAAGTCAATACTGCACTATCAACCATCCTAGCTTAGCAGTGTTCTCATGTCTCCTCATAATTGTCAGATTTGCTGGGTTTGTACATTCACTCAATGCTACTGCCTTGCTGAAAATGTCAAAACAAAGGGCAAGACTGTATACTGCCAGCCTAGAAAAAGACTCAAATTCAACGTTCAACTTCAACTGAATGTGGGTCCTCTTCATTCCACCATAAACTAAAAAATAATGGTAAGTTTAGCTGTCTTAAGTTGGGAACTTATAACCATGTGGATTACCATATGGTTAGGCTGTGCCAACTCTGGATTCCTGCTCCCAGGACCTGAGAGCAGAGTGTATGGCATGGGTGACAGTCATGCCTCTCCTTCCAGAACCTGTCCTTGCCTACCAGAGGAGGTGCGGACAGAACCACTTTTCTCCCAAAGGATGATTGCATATTTAACACAGCATATGAAGATTATACATAATTACCAACTCAAAAATTCTCTCCTAAATTTCAAGTCCACCTGCAGTTGTAGGGCCAAATTGAACAACTGTATGAGCCTTATACAGCCTACAGCCTACAGGTCAGACGATCCCCTCCCCTGCTGTATCCAAGTAACCAGGCCAGCTCACTTGTGTCAGGGATTTAATACTTGCCTATACAATTCTACCTGCCCACTGTGCATTCAATCTAGACGTTACATCATGGTGTCTTCATCAAGAATGCATCAGTGGTCAGCCCTATTAACTGCTACTGACGCCTAGGGAAATGCTACAGTTCTAGCACACTGTCCTTGGGAGATGCTTGCTTCCCCCATCCAGGAAAAGTCCGTCCTGCACTGCAGGATGTCAGCAGTAGGAGCGTCCAACAAAGACTGCTTTAGCTCGCAGCAGGGAACGTTCCAGCAGGGTTTAGCTATATCAGTTTGCTATGGCTGCCACAATAAAGTACCACAGGTTGGCCTTTACAACAAAAACATGAACTCTCAGTCCCAAAGACTAAAAGTCCAAGTTCAAGGTATAGAGAGGAGCATGTGCTCTCTGAAGGTATCAGGGAAAGAATTGTCATAGGATGGGCTTGGTATAGTAACCTAGTGGCTAAAGTCACAGATTCTAATCCCAGCAGCCATGCTTCCCATCCAGCTCCCTGCTTGTGGCCTGGGAAAGCAGTTGAGGATGACCCAAATGTCTTCGGGCCCTTTACCCACATGGGAGACCCAGAAGAAGCTCTTGGCTCCTAGCTTCAGATCAGTGCAGCTCCGGCCATTGTGGCGTGAATCAATGGACAGAAGATCTTCCTATCTCTCTTCCTCTCTGTATATCTGATTTTCCAATAAAAATAAATCTTAAAAAAAAAATAAAAGAATTGGCTTAGGCTCCTCTGAGCTCCTGCAAGGTCCTGGTTTATGGAATCGTAACTGTAATCTTCACATGGTGTTTTCCGTAATGAGTGGAGCTGTGTCCAAATCCTGCCCTCTTTTATAAGAACACCAATAATATTGAAATAGGTCTCACCATGATGACCTCATCTTAACTTGAACATCTGCAATAACACTATTTGCAGATAGGATAATAGGACCTGGAGGTTAAGACTTCAGCCTCACTCACAACGATGGCTTACCCCCAAATGTTTGGATTCTTTCCTGAGACATGTAGAACTTTGAGAGTCATTTCATTATGAATGCTCCTTATCCTCTCCAAAGTTACAAGTGTGCCTTGTGGAAGTTTTCTCTTGTTATCTCTGTGTACCTGTTAGCACATAGACAGACCCTGTCACTAACAATGGCTAAAAATCGCACTGGCCATTTTACCTCCATCAAAGACTTGGGACAGCAGGAAAGATTCCTTGCCTTGGTGCTGTTGTCTGATCTTGATCCTGGAAGGATTTAGGGAGCCCTTTATGTGTAGAAAGATTAAGTCAAGTGAAAGCAGCTGGTCTGGTGGACATACACATGTAGCCATCATAATTAGAAGCCAAAAGGCAAGCCAGTTTGACCAAAGCCAAGTAAGTATCCCTGGAGACATTAGAAAAGATCGATGAGAGATGACACAAAGTTCTCTATGCTGGTCTAAGAATATAGACCTTATCTAGTGAAACTTTGTGAACCAATGGCTGAGAAGATATCCGGGAGACACTCTAGAAGACCTTCAATGACTGATGAAGGATAAGAATTGAACAAAAGGATGTCAGGACAAAATTTAGATGAGTATGTTGTCAACAGCACAGCTCAACACAGGCATGTAAACTGGGAATGCCCCTTTTTCTTGCCCTACCACGTGCTTGTCTTTAAGGCTCAGGTCAACTGTCACCTCTGCTGCGAAGCCTCTTAGGGATGCTTGCTCCTTACACTGTGGTACCATTGTCCTTTGCAATATATCCCATCATTCCTAGTGCTCACCATGTTATGTAGTGAGTTTCTGCTTCCGTGTGTCTCCTCCAGGCTGTGCTCTCATAAAACTCAGATAACCTTCTGTTATGCTTTGTCGTTTTTGTGGCCCTAAGTGAACAAGACCATGAAGTTGCTCCATGATGTGAAGCACTGATGTGAAGCAAAGAAAACTCATCAGTGAACCTATTGATTTGACTCGTGTAATGAGCCAGTCTGGATGAACTCTGGGGACCAAAGAGGGCCTTGGCAATCTATCTTACCCAGTAACCCAGAGGCCTGCAAGACCTGGACAAGCTACGATCATGCATTAGCCTATCTTGGGGCTGTTCGGCTGTGAGAAATGTGCAACTAAAGGGAAACTCAGAGGCAATTTTATCCAACACATAGAACAAATAGCAATAACAAGAAAAATGCAAGGAGTGCCTCCACATTACTTTGCAGTTAGCAGTAAGGCTGGGAATTAGAAACTTATTTGACCCATTCAGTCCTTGTAGAATTATGGAGTGGAGGCAACATTTTGAAATTGATAGTTGAAGATGGTGAGGCATGCAGGGCTCAGTGACAAGTTCAGGCTTGTGCAGTTGGTAGATGGTAAAGCTGGGATCTATGACAGATTGCTGTCATTCCATTTTTATATTGCCCCATGCAGACCATGCTAAAGACCACAGGTTTCCAAAGATCCTGTGAGACGTTCGCACAACCTAACAAAACCTTGCCAAAGAATCTGCCTTCAAAGTGTTCCCCTGTCCTCAATTCCATTTTTCCTATTTTTCAGGAGAGAAGTATGAGCTCCACGCAGGGACTGAGTCCACGCCAAGTGTTGTCGTGCATGTGTGTGACAGTGACATAGAGGAAGAGGAGGATCCAAAGACTTCCCCAAAGCCAAAAATCATCCAAACCCGCCGTCCCGGCCTGCCACCCTCTGTGTCCAACTGAGCTGATTGCTCCATCTTGATAATATCTATCTCCTCTTGATCATGCTTTCCCCCCGTTTGTTGGAAAAAATATTAATTGCCTTTAAATCCCTGGGTGTTCGGTTGTTTGAGACTCCTTCCTTGTAATCAGCCTCTTGGACAAAAGGGCTAGGAAAAGGTGATATGTCTCCTGCTCATATCATGCCCATTAAATATAATCCATTATTTAGAGAGTTCTAGGGGACAAAAGGTAGTATTTTGTTATCAACACAGCTATTTTCGTTCTCTCATGTCGATCTAAGTCAGAGACAGTGACATTTAGCACCTGTGTTGTTTGCGTGTCGTTTCAGTCCCAGTCCTGATGGATGTGTTGTTTTGTTCCTGCCACATAAATAGGACCATATGTAAAGTTGACTTTGACTGCATGAGATACCCCTATCTGGTCTCACTCAGTCCTCTGCATCCCAACATTCCCAGGACATGCATGATCACCAGCATTGATTTTCATTGTTTAAGGACATTATATATATCAAATGATCAGCATCCAGCCATGTCCTACCTAGATTAGGAAAATGATCAGGATCACCCAGCTGAATCAGTCTTGAGTAGATTCACTATTTTAAGTCAATTCTGAACAGCCCTATTAAAATTCCTGGAGGCAAAACTGAGGTTGGCCCAAAAGAAATTCCTCAGTAGAATTTGAGTACCACTTCCATGAGATCTCCCCAGTCTCATGGGGAAGGCTTGTCCAGGGTGGTAGAGACCTATTTCAGACAAATCTATTTATTACAAAAGTTTCATGGTGTCTGAATTTTTTTTTCTCTTTGTATACTTGTACAAATATTTCAGCTGTGCTTTTGAAAATCTGAATGTTTTTTATTTAGTGATTGTTCAACCATTAGCTGCTTGAAAACATGAGCATCGCTTCTGAATGCATTCGTAGCTAACACAGATAATCTGATATTATTACTCTATTATGGATAATGCTGAATTTTGAAGGGACACAAAACGTCTCATGCCAATATAGAAATGATTAGCCAACATCTTTGCTATCAAGACTACTGTTTTTAAATAAAGATACAGGTGTCAATTAGAGCTAAAGCTCCAGAATGCACTGCAGCTGAGAACATTAAAATGAGGACGGATGCTAGAGAAATGTATGCCAGTCCTGTTCATGCATTGCTCACACACACACACACACACACGTCTGTTTTTGTTGTCTGTGACTTTTCTATTTCTCTATCCCCAAGTGCATTACAGAAGATACACCTTTAGAACCATCACCTTCTGCTCTGTGTGCCAGGTCTCATCTACTCCTGTACGTTAGTGAACTCCTTTAGATGCAAGTAGAAATTATGATGGCGTGGGGAAGTACTTTCACTACCCGAGCCGCAGAAACACATACAAGAACAATGACACAGCCAACTGATCGAAGAGTGGTTGTGGTTTGGGACTAAGGTGTATGCTAGTTTCATCCGAAACTTAAAACACAGACTGATCACTCAGAAATTAAAGTCCGTTCTACTGTGAATACAGCAATATAGTACTGGATGCAGTACAGGTGAAGCTGAGGAGAACATTGCTTGAAAAATCCTGAGATTCAAAAAGGAAAAAATGAAAACTCCTTTTAGAAACAAAATCTGAGGAGTATAGCGTGAGCAATTGCTTCGACTTCCCTTTGCCTTGGATGGGTTTGGTGTTTTCTTTAGCCAAGGAACGACTAAGGGCACAATTAGTGGAGAAGCAGTGCCCCCTAGTGGAAGACCAGGCTACTCTCCAATAAACACAATTACTAGAGCCAACATTGACAGCTTGAGTCTCAGCCACGTTTTAAGCTACTCAGAATTTTCAGAAGGCAGGTTAAGAAGTCCAGAGGAGAGAGAAGTTTGGACATGATATTTTCATGCTTTAACACATACATCAGATGCTTCCATCTAATGTATGGAATGAAGCTGTGGTAACCATTCTCAGCAATCACGAATTAGTCTCAGCGCAGCACGTGACCCAGGTGGGTAAGTCTTGGTAAAATGTGTTGCTCCATGTCAGTGTTATCCGGTGTCAGACAGGTCATTCCTCTGCTAGTTTGGGTTTGGGGTGGAGAGGAAGAACTTCTCCTGGGATAGCTAAGAAATGGGAAGGACTCCTTGAAGTTTTCCAATGGAATCTCCTAGCACTGAGAAAGTGAGCATTGCCTCAGCATTTCCATGACGCACATTATGCAAGCCTCCGTAGCACTATTTTATGTTGAGAAGTGTAAAAAAATGGAGGGGAAGGGGAAGATTTCCACAAACTGAATCATCTGTGCACGTGTACAGCTCAAGGAGCTTAGACTTCAAATATATCTGGTGAATGACTCTGTTGTGTGGTCTCTGCTTTGCATGCCCGAGTCCCACATTCCTGAGGGCTGACTGCGGGAGAGTGCAATTCAGCCTGCAAAGTTCCCAACAAAAGGAATGACCCAGCTAGGTTCTGCCTGAATTGAACCATGGGGAAGACGGGTTGCACGCATCTCTGGAAAGGATAAACTGAGTAAGGCCTATAGTGTTGGGCAGGGCTCCGACAAGGGAATGAGGGCAGTTTAGGAGAGCTCCTGGCTTGATTGCCATGTTCTAACAATCTTGATCCTGAAAGCTGTTTCAGGGATACTAAGAACTTACCTATTTTTAATGTATTTTCTACTTTTGTTATTTAATTGAAAACACTACAGAGACAATGCAGTCAAACATTACAGAGAACAAAGAGCACTGAATGTTTAGACAAGATGAATTAGATGTCATTAAAGGAGCTTCTGTTTGTCGCATGACAGCGCTAGGAGAATGAAAAGGAAAGCCTATGAGAGAGAGAAGATAGTCAAGATGTATTGTATTGCTCTATGACGAATGTCCAAAATGTAAGAAGAACTGCAATAGGAGGAAGGAACAAAAGCCTTTTTAACACAGTCAAAATACTTTAAAAGGCGCTTCAACTGTATAGGCAATTCACATATACACAAAATGCTACAGTGAGCTGAAAACGTGAAAAAAGACAGTCAAGGCAGGTCAATCAGGAGGATGGCTGGATGAAACGCTCCAGGAATCCTCTATCCCTAAACACCAATTTGAGTAGCCAAGTGCTCACTAGGCTTCCTTCCCAAAGGCTAAGGAAGCCAGGTGAAAACACAGAATCACCCTAGGATCAAGACGACAGGCAGAAGGCAAACAGCAAGCTCCCTGAGCTCCCAGAAGGGTAGCCTGGAGAAAGAGGGAAGTTGAGAGCTTTGAACACCCAGCACCAGATCCACTACCAGGAAACCAAGTGCTGGTTCCTACTCTGCATCCAGCGTACACTGAGCCTCGGGATGCTCCATTAACAGGCAGCCAAGAAACTGCTTCCATCATCCTTTTCCTCTGACAGTCAGTGGAGCAAGGCTCCAGCCACTGAGATATACAAGAAAGTGGGTATTGGACTTTGCCTTGGATCTGTGTGCCAGATCTACTTCAAGAAGATACAGAACCCCCAAGACCCTAATCACATAACCAGTGCCTGTTTCTGGAGCCTCTCCACTTTCACTAGGTGGAAACTTTTGCCTTAGCAAGACAGATGCTTCAACACGCATCACCACCAGCTTGCTGCATATGGGCCTGGCTCACACCCCAAGGACAATTCAGGGCCTTGCAACTACAAGGCCCGATTATATAGGCCTGACTCAGCTTAAGGTTAGCCTAGGAGGCCAAGGAACTGCCTCCACCAGCTCTTTCCAAACAGGAGGAAAATTCCAGTCACTGGGGAATGGGGCACAAAAGTAATCATAAGGATGTGTCTTGGAATTCCATGTCAGGCTTGTAAGATCCTAATGCTGAGTATATCAGAACGGTCCCTGTACCCAGGCCAGCACACATGGTTGAAGCACCCTGAGCCTCCCTTGGTGCCCAGTAAAAACTCATGATCTCCAATTCATCAGACTTTGATCCCAGCCACTGTCACCAGTGGCTGACTGCAGTTGTCTAAGCCCAGGACTCCAACTCAGTAGCAGGAAACGCTTGGCAGGGTGGGGCCTGATTATACTTCCATGCAGCACTGTTCTTGCCTTATCAGTCTGTGTACTTCGGTGGTCTAGCACTGTGACACTGGTGGCCACAGGATTGTTTATTCCAGTCGTCCCTCAACCCCAGACATAACACGCATGCTTACAGGTGAAAACAAAATGAAAGCAGATACCAATTCACTGCATGAGACTCCAGAACCAAGTGGCATCCCATGGATACTGACCACTGGTCACGGTGTGTGGATGACCATCTAGGACTACAGGGACCCCAGGCAGAGACTTCCAAGAATGTATTTCTCCCCTTGCCCATTTTTGAAAACACATCCTCAATTTATTCTAATCAATGGCAGAATTGTGCTTACTCTGGTGCTAAGCACCTGGCAAATCTTGACTTAGGTTGCCATCTAGTGGTGAAATGGCAGAAGCGTTCACTGCCTCAGAAAATAAGAAGCTGCTGCTTAAAGTTTCAGGAAGGAAAGCAAGAAGCAAAACCCGGTTACAAGGACTGAAGAAAACATCTAGTCCTTCGATGCTCTGCCAGTGTCATATACCAGCAAGCATCGTGCACTCAGGGAACCATGGCTTCACCTAACAAAGGCGCTAAAAACCACGCAGTTGCCGATTAATTTCTCTAAACTCATGGATGCAGAATTCAATACAAGTTTTATGTGCAGAAACCCTCCAAGCTCCCAAGCAAGCTCTGAGAAACAGTTCAATACTCTAACAGGATTACCAAAGATATGGAAACAAAACCCAATGTGTCTGGGAACTAAAAAGGTACACTAGCTGAAATTTAAAATTCCACAGAAGTTGTTAAAAGCAGGAAGGATCAGAAAGAAAGAATGCAACCTCTTTGAAAAAAAAAATAGTAGAAAAAAAGGATAAACAGGCCCAAAGACCTTGCAGGAACTGTGGGACAGCATTAAAACAGCAAATATTCGGGTTACTGGAGCTCAAGAGACTTGAGAAGGTCGAAGAGCCAGGAAAACGTAGCTAAAGAGATAAAAGACCCAAACCAGAGAAAGATAAAATTATCCAAGTATAGGCAGATCAAAGGTCACCACTCAGATTTGATTCAGTGTTAACACAAGGCATACTGTCATCAAATTCAAAATAAAGGAAGGAATGGAAGTGGAAAGTTTGGTGATATTTTCACTTCTTTGGTTCTTTTCCTGCCGTCACAATCAATGTTAACTTCCTGCAATTTCCAAGTAGTTTATTATGAATTAAAGATGCTCTTGGAAGCTTCCTAGCAACTGAAAAGCAAGCACAATATCAAAACACACTGGAGAAAACCCATTCCAAGAATGAGAAAAAAAATAAAAATAGAAAATAATTAGGAAAATGTAAATAGCAAGTCCTTACTAATAATTACATTAAATGCAAATAAACCAGATCCTCTAATTAAGTGACAATGTAACTAAATGGATTTAAAAAAAAAAAGACCCAACTATGTGCTGCTGAAAAGAAACTTATTTTACCTCTTTGGGTATTCACGGGCTGATTGAAAAGGTAGGACAGGGCCCGGCGCGGTGGCGCAAGTGGTTAAAGGTCCTCGCCTTGCACGCCCGGGATCCCATATGGGCGCCGGTTCTAATCCCGGCAGCCCCGCTTCCCTTCCAGCTCCCTGCCTGTGGCCCGGGGAAAGCAGTCGAGGACGGCCAAAAGCTTTGGGAACCTGCACCCGCGTGGGAGACCCGGAAGAGGCTCCTTGCTTCGGATCGGCATAGTATCGGCCCGTTGCGCTCACTTGGGGAGTGAATCATCGGACGGAAGATCTTCCTCTCTGTCTCTCCTTTCTCTGTATATCCGTCTTTCCAATGAAAAAATAATAAAAATAAATCTTTAAAAAAAAAAAGATAGGACACCATGTGCAAATAGAAACTAAGAATGCAAGCGCCACCATACCTAAATCATGTAAAATTGACTTTTAAATTAAGAGCAATGAAAAGAGAAAAGGAAGGTCATTATAGAACGGTTAAAGGGATCAACTCAAAGAAAAACACTTGCACATATACGTAACACCTTACCCAATAATGAACTACCCAAATATGAAGCATCGCAAACAGTCATGAAATGCAGTTTTTAAGGGGGTCATTATCATAGATGGCAGGTGGCTGCCACTTATGGCACCAGCATCCCATTTGGACACAGCTGCTCCACTTGCAATCCCGTTTTCTCCTAGTCATTTGGGAAAAGCAGCCAAAGATTAGGTAAGTTTCGGGGCCCCTGCTACTCTCATGAGAGACCCAGATGAAACTCCTGGCTCGGGCCTTGGTTCTCAACATTGCAGCCATCTCCGGAGTAAACCACTAAATGAAGTATCTGTTTCTTCCTGACATGATGTAACTTTGTCACACAAAAGTAAAATTAGAAAATTCAAGTAAAATAAACATCTTTTAAATCTTACTTTCAAATTAATATAGCTAAAGGTAGAGAAATATGCCAACACAACAAGAGTAGAGGAGTTTTAACACTTTACTTTCAGCAATGAACCAATCAGAAAAATCAAAGTCCAACAGTGAAATTGCACCCTAGACCAATTGCATCTAACAGACATCTATGAAACATTCTATCCAACAAGTGACAAATACACACTGTATTTCATGTGCTATTGGATTCTCAGTAGTGCATGAAAGACTGTCCACAATAGATCATATGGTAGGTTACAAGACAAGCTTCAGCTTAACCAGAAAAACTTTGGAAATCATACAAATCCATGCAAATCAAATAAGCTATTGCGGAAAAAGAGAATTTTAAAATTTCTCAAAACAAAATGGAAACACACTATACCAAATCCAATGGGATAAAACAAAAATAATTGGGTCCAGTGTGGTAGCCTAGAGGCTGAAGTCCTTGCCTTGCAAGGACCTGGATCCCATATGGGCTGCTGATTAATGACCCAGTTCTTCCACTTCCTATCCAGCTCCCTGCTTATGGCCTGGGAAAGCAGCAGAGGACAGGCCAAGTCCTCGGGACCCTGCACCCATGTGGGAGAACCAGAAAAAGCTACAGGCTCCTGGCTTTGGATCAGTGCAGCTCCAGCCATTGCTGCCACTTGGGGAGTGAACCAGCAGAGAGATCTCTCCTCCTCTCTGAAAATCTGCCTTCCCAATAAAAATAAATAAATCTTTAAAAAAAAAATTTTAAACAAAAGTGATAAAGGAAGATTTATGTTAACCAAGCCCATATGAAAATATAAAATTTTAATAATCTGCTTTAAGTACTTTTGTATCCTCCAAAACTAGAAAAATAGAATTTAAAAAAACCTCCAAATTGGAAGGAAATAAAATCAGGGATGTAAATTGAATCAGCTTTTAAGACTTCAC